ATTCTTTAGGTGTGCCAATTGCTTATTAAACCATGGAGGTTTATTGGAAATTGACGGATAGTATAACGGAACACAAATAAAAGAAGAAGATCAATGCATTATAAAAGATATAAACGGCCTGAGCCATGTTAGTGCATAAATATAGTTCGGACCAGTCAAATCCGAATATAAAAGTATTTAAGCGATGAAAGTTTGCCTTGCGAACGCAGCGAATTCAGAACAAACTTTTCCGGTTTTCCTTTAACTCTGTTCCAGTCATCTCATGAGTTGGGTGATAAGGATATTCCAGTTGCGTTAGTAGCCGCCAATATAGTCATGCTGCGCGAAGTAAAATATCCAACATTTTTTTCTGGGGAGCAAGTCGCACAAGGTTTATTGAAATCATCAATACTACTAACTGATCTCGACCTGACAGTTTATTGGAAATGTACTGGATAACTCAGATGATGGTGGGATATATGAATTAGTAGAATAGCCGATTTCCTAAGTTGATCGAACTCAGCCAAGTGCATACAACAAAAACAACAACTTGAATGCAATGGCCAATGACAATTAAATTTGGTCACCAATGACAGCGAAGAAGAACAGCAACCAATAATAATAAAGAACGTTAGCAGAAACGGTAGCAGCGGCAGATACGGTGGCAGCGATGGAACGACGTGTAGTCATAATGCATAATTTTTTTGCGTAATTAAAATCAGTTCTTAATCCAACTCAATAAAGTAAAATTTGATTTTTTATCTAAAAATAATAATCAATCTTTTAGCTGGCGCCCAATGATTCTGAAAAAGCCAATACTTCTACCGTCTTAAGACAGGACAGCAGCAACACCAACAACGGCAACAGCTCTACCAACAACCCTAGCAACAACAACGTTGATCACACCAAGGCTGGCAACAATACCGGATGCAACAACAAGAATCACAGTCATCCATCTGGCAGCCTGAAACAAATTCCCACCCACAAATCACCCCCAATTATGGTTGATCATTGTGAGAACCTAAACGGACTTGTTAAATCCACAGACAATATCGTTGACCCGTTCAAATACTCTCTCAAATGCCATCCCAACAACTCTGTTTACATTATAGCTGCTGATTCAGATGCATACAGATCTATAATAAAATCCCTTACCCTTAAACAAGTGCAATACCATTCCTGGCAGTTGAAAGAAGATAGATCCTATCGTGTAGTCATCCGTGGTGTCCATTTTGAAAATATGAATGTTATGCATTTATTAAAGGCATATACATAATAACTTTTGTTTAAATTTGAACAAATGTATGAAACTTTTATAATTTCTAAGAATGTAACCCCCGTGTTAAGCGAGGGCCAAGTGTACACCTTTCATTCATCCTGACCAATAAAATACATCTAAAGTAACTGCGAAACCGTTTAGATCAGTTGTATCAAGTGATGGTCTTATCCCTATAATATATATATATACCGCTATTTCTCTCGATCGACCAATTTGTTTTGGCCAACTAACTGAAAAAACCGAACACACTGAAATGTTTTTGTGTTTTGCTGAAAAAAGAGAAAATATACCCAACGTATTTTTATGGGCTCTTTCTACCACTCTAATGTTTTCTGGCACCACTAACTGAAAGCAACACTGAAAAACCCGGCCACAAAGTCTTTCAAGTGGTTTTAATTTTTTGGTGCTGTTTTTTTTATTTATTTTCTTGGTGTCTAATGCCCTCTTCCCATAGAGTCCATCCGTCTGAAACGGTTGTGATTTTTGACAAATGTGAAACTCCGATTCCCACAGAGCACATCCACCATCCACCATCCGATAACAGCTGATCTGAACAGCTGTGGCTCATTATTTTAGCCCGTTGCATTTTGCACAACATTTAAAATGAGCACAACAGCGTTATAATTGATACTTGGTGACTGACTGCAAGTGATCTACGCGAACAATCAAAACGAACTAATACGTCTGCAGATTTTTGCCAGCCTGCAGACAAAATATGAACAGCTATTGCCCAATATTGTCTAAATGGTAACAAATCAAGTTCATTATATATAAATGTTTGTTTTTTGTTTTATTATAATTTCATATTTTATTTCATTTTAAATGTTCTGCTTAATGTTGTGAGTAAGGTATGCGCCTAGGAAAGAGTGGAGGAACACCTAATGCTAAAACACGGATGGAGCAGTAATTAATTAATTATTACAAGTATAAACTGCATTTTTTGAATTGGCGCCTTCCTGTTCAAAAGTTACCCGCCATTATTTTTTTTAAATTTTCGTAGTGAATGTTCCAATTTCCACTGTCAAGAAGAAGAACTCAGAGTTGCACCAAAAAAACATCGCCTAACTATCGCATAAAAAAGTCCGTCAAATTTGGATGGGGAACTAACTGGGAATTTTCGGAACGGCAAAACCTTATGGACCATCCGTTCAACGGATGGTGGATGGAGCTCTGTGGGAAGAGGGCATAAACTTCAAATCTTTAGATTTTGTTGTCCCTACATATATGCTTTCACATTTTTTATTTTCGTCTCCAATGCATGGTATTTTATATACATACAACATTGTTTTTGTTAGACATTTGTATTTTAAAAATAGTTTTATTAAATATTGGTCGCAGGGTGTTGTTGAGCGTCCTGATGCTGTTGGTTTTTTATACCACTACAGTTTAAAATGTTCCCCTGTCTATTAACCATTGGGTCTAAATATGCCAACCTTCCATCGTTTTCCTGTTCCAGTGTGAACTTTATATTTTTATTTAAAGAGTTTAAGGTATGAACATACATCTTTTATTTTTATCAATTTTTCTCTAATTGTGTCTAGTGCAAGATCTATAGGTAAATTATATATAGTTAATTTAATTAATAATTGTATTTAATTTTGTTTTCAATTTTATTTGATGTCGATTTGAATTTTTCTTTTTAATTGTTTGAACAGAGATTTATTATATGTTTTATTCTCGTTGACCTTGACTTAGAAAATGAACTTAAGCCTAGTATCCAGATCGACAAACGAGTATGCTAGCGTAAAAACTTTAATCTTTCCAGTGTGACCAAAATTTCGAGAGTTCATCGGATTTAAGCGTGCTACGGTCGTACTATCAATCAGCTGGGTTTGTTGACAAGCAGTTCAAATTCAAATATCGTATTTGCGGGAAAGAGCCTTTAAAAGATATTATCAAATAACTTGGCAAGACAAGTCTGCCGCTGTACAAAGCAATTGAAAAACAATACAATTTACATTTAACAGTTGTTTTTTTTAATTTACTGATAATTATTTGCTAATTTAAAGTTCATAGCTGCACTTTTATTGTGTTTTTTCGTACATTCTGGACCTAAAAAACATTTTGCTCTGACAATAGACACCCCAGATAGTATTAATGTTATTTTGTCCTCACATGTAAACACCTGCATTCGACTTTTGTGAGTTTTTTGAGATTTTCCCTTCATTTCTTATAATGTTCAGTGAGAAGCGCACGCCAAAAGATTAAATTTTTTAATCTTTTCGCTAGGGTTCACCCAAAACTCATTTCAGCAGACTGGCAACGCTATGGAATTTTCTGGTATTTTTTTCGTCGATCAGGGGACCGACGTGAAAAAAAGGCCCGACGAAAAGTGAACGCCAGCTGTTTGCCTCTCGCTCTCTCTCATGACTGGCGTACGGTTTTCGTCGTTCTGGATACTAGGCTTTAAAGTTGAACGTTAATTCGCTGGCTTATCTTAAGCTTGAGTATATTGATAAGATTCACAACATTATCTGTATAAGAGAGCGAAAGAACTACCTCCCCACTTAAAAATGATAAACGACCACGTTAATATATTCACTTAAAAATAATATATTACAGTTTTATAAATCTAAGCAACGTTAAATTTTTCAATTCATACGATGGTTTTTAAGAGGTGTTTACAACTGTTCGCTGCGATTATCATTTGAATTAGCATTTTCGTTCCTTTCGAATTTCTCATTAATTTTATTCGTTTGAATTTAGATCTATGTCGCCGTATATTTCTATTGTTAAAATATTCCTTATAATGATTGTCATCGAGCATAGATATTTGTATACTTTTCCTAAATGGGTTATCAATTTTAAATTTTCTTTTTAGTTTCATATTTACTTTAGCAAAAGCTGCTTTATTTAATCGCTTATTTATATCTTCCTTACCTTGTTTTACGTCTTATAGGTCAATTTTGGAAAACTGTGTGCCATGACGAATTTTATGTAGCAAAAGAGTTGGCAATGAATATGGCTCGATGTCCGATTGGGAATTGACACCTGGCTTTATCTCCACAAATTCGTAGTATTCCACCTGGCTTGGGTGCTAGTACTATGGGCTATGCCCAGTTGCTAAACGTTGTTTGTTTCCCAATATCTGTTTTTGTGAGACGCTGCGCTTCCTCCTTGAACTTTTCCAATAGGGCTAACGCAATTTCCCTGCTTTTGTAGAATTTCGGTACAGAATTCATGTTGGCCAAACGCACGCAATTTCGATCACACTTTTCAAGTTTTGGTTTGTTAGGTTATTTGTATGAGGGAAGGAACGGTAGTATTAAGGAGTTTCACTTCAAGTTTTTGTTTCGGTTTTGTCTTTTACTTTGCCCTGCTTGAATAATCCCTTTTGACACATTATACATATATCCCTTTTGGCACATTAGTGTCCCGAGCACGATTTTAAATTTAAGGGGTTGTTCAGTCATTGAGATTTTTCAACGACTATCCTTTAAACTCGAAATAATAACGCCGATATAATTAGTTGAACGTTATAATAAGAATTTTTATTGTTGCGGATAATATTGGAGGATACAGAAAATATATGCCAATATATTGAGCGCGCGCAATGAACGTACATGAGAGAGTAATCCCGCTTTAGATAATTAGCGCAGATAAAGCTCTCTATCTGACGATGCTGCCGATAAGCGCTGAAGTCGAGCGGCCGAGAGAGAGAGAGAGAGAGTCGGCTTGCGACCAACGAAGGCGAGAACATAAACAATTAGTATGTAATACGAAAGCTTTGTTTGAGTTTTATCTATAAATTAGGTGGCGGCTGCTGCTTGTCCCGACATTCTCCCCCCAGTTGGGCCTGGCTTCCAACTTCGTCCTTAAGGGGCAAAAGGCACAGCTTAGATACTGCGCGCTTGGTGGTTCCAGATGAAGTTCTGATCACCGCCACTCGAGCCACTCCGCCCCTACCAGATACCAGTTCCATGATTCTCGCGAGCGGCCACTTCATCGGGGGTAGGTTCTCGTCCTTGACCAGCACCACATCGTTGACTGCCAAAGCAGGGCCGGAGGTACGCCATTTGGAGCGTTGCTGAAGGAGGCTTAAGTATTCCTCTTTCCATCGGGACCAGAAAGACTGCTGCAGAAAGGACACACGTTGCCAACTGTCCAGACGATTGAAGTTTAGCTTTGTAACATCAGGTTCGATTAAACTAGATGGCGGACCTCCAGTTAAAAAATGTGCTGGCGTTAGAACATCGAGGTCTGCAGGATCTTCTGAAAGAGGCAATAATGGTCGTGAATTTATGACAGCACCAATGTGGCAAAGCAGAGTTCGCAGCTCCTCAAATCCAAGAATTGAGGACCCCACAGCCCGGTAAAAATGATGCTTGGCAGTTTTGACTGACGCTTCCCAGAGTCCGCCGAAATGCGGAGATCGAGGAGGAATAAAATGCCATTCGATGGACTCAATCGCACAAAACTCCATAAGTGTCCGCTGATGCTCGTCGCTGATAAAGAGCCGCCGCAGCTCACTTAGCTCGTTTCTGGCTCCAACAAAATTTGTAGCGTTGTCCGACCAAATGTGTTGTGGCTTTCGGCGGGTGCATATAAACCGTTTTAGTGCCTGTAAGAACGCAGTAGTGGATAAATCCTTTACGAGCTCCGCTCACGTAGCATTTTACCGGAGCCTTATTACGAACTTCTGGCTTGTAATGGAATGGCCCACAAAAATCCACGCCAGTGACTCCAAAGACTTGGCAACCGTTGACTCTTTGTTCCGGGAGATCAGCCATAATGTGCTCCAGCAGGCGAGGCTTGGACCGGAAGCATCGGATGCATTTGTGCAACGCCTTCGTCACCGTTTTCCTCCCCCCAATTGGCCAATATTGGGATCGAATCATAGCCAAAAGAGCACGAGGTCCCGTGTGTAAATTTCGCTCATGGAAATCAACAATTATAGCAAGAGTGACTGGGTGGCTTCTAGGGAGTATAATTGGATGACGACTATCAAAATCCAACGGCGAATTCTTCAGGCGACCATCTACACGCAGTAGACCGAACTTATCCAAGAAGGGTGAAGATGTGGCAAGTACGCTGGACGACCTTATATCATCCCAAAAATTCACCCGCTGTACCAACCGCAATAAAAGTTGAGTTCCAGACTTGATATCTCCTGCGGTGATTCCCTTGTGGCGTATTCGATGACAAAACTTGTGCACATAAGCAAATACCCGCTGCAGAGATGAGAAGGAATTAGCGTACTTGGAGGCAGCTATTATGTCCACATACGGCGACTGAATGAGCAAAACCTTTGCGCGCAGTTCCAGGGTCGGCCTCTCAGCTGGGACCGCAACTGGCCACTCATCTTGAGGACCAAGAAGAACCCACAGCTCATCAAAGATCAACTCATTAGGAAGAGCACCACGGGACAGGATGTCCGTCGGATTCAAGGACGTGGGAACATAGCGCCACTCCATCGTTCTGGTTAACTCCTGGATCGTCGCAACTCGATTGGCAACGAAAACATTAAACCGGGCAGGCTCCTCTCGAATCCAGGACAGCGCCACTGCAGAATCGCACCAACAATAATGCTTCCCAGCGTACATCTTCAGATTAGCTACTTCTAACATAAGCCGCGCCAGCAATTCTGCTCCTGATAGTTCCAGTTTCGGCACCGTAACAGTCTTTAGCGGCGCCACTCAAGACTTCGAGCAAAGCAGGTGACTTCCCGCTCCTGTACCCCTTGAGACGACATAAATACAGGCACCATAAGCCTCGATGCTAGCGTCACAAAATCCATGAATCTCCAAATCGGTCGGTGATGATAGTGACCATCTGGGAAAATCGGCGAAGCTGCAGCAAATTTTTTCCCAATCAGAGTCAAGAGCCTGACGAAGACTCTCATCCCAAGACAACTTCTCACGGCACAGCTTCTGAAGAAAGATCTTTGACCTTGTGATGACTGGCCCGACAAGTCCTAAAGGATCATACAACCGGGCGATTGAGGAAAGGACGATACGCCTAGTTGGATTTAAGGTTGACTGAAGGCCCTCAAATGAAAATAGCAAGCGATCAGTAGCAGGATCCCAAGCGAGGCCCAGAGTTTTCGTAAAGTTGCTGCCGTCATCAAATCTCAGAAACGACTCCCGATCCTCTTCCGGCACATCAGACAACACCGCAGCTACGTTGGAGCACCACTTTCTCAAGCGAAATTGACCCTTGGCAAGGATCCCTGATGTTTGCTGCATGATGTTGACAGCTTCAGCCACAGAAGCACCTCCAGAAATTAGATCGTCCACGTAAAAGTCGCGTCGCAGAATCTCGGCCCCCTTTGGAAACATCGACTGCTCATCCTCGGCCAATTGATGCATTGCTCGCACTGACAAAAATGACGCTGGTTTTGTTCCATAAGTTACAGTGTCAAGTTTAAAAACCTGCAACTCGTCCTGGGTGGAATCCCGCCAAAGGATACACTGCAAATGGCTGTCCTCAGGGAAAACTCTGACACATCGGTACATTTTGCAGATATCTCCTGTAATGGCCACCCGATGGTAACGGAACCTTAACAGGATGTGAAGCAACTTTGGCTGTATAACTGGGCCGGACATCAACACGTCATTCAACGAATACCCAGAAGTGGTAGCAGCAGATCCATCAAAAACAACCCTGAGCTTGGTTGTTGAACTGTCCTCTTTCAAAACACAGTGGTGAGGTAAGAAGTACTGAGGAGTGAGGCTCGCATTAGCAGGAACTGCAGACATATGGCCCAACTCCAAATACTCTTTTATAAACGCAGCATACGGATTCTTCAATTGAGGGTGACGACTGAGCTTCCTTTCTAGAGAGAGAAATCGACGCACGGCTTGGGGATACGATTCTCCCAGCAAATCAGAACTGCATTTCAACGGCAGCCTCACAGCATAAGCGCCTGACTTGAGCCGAGTAGAGTGTTGCACAAAATGCGCTTCGCAATCCAGCTCTTCCTTTGTCCACTTCACTATTGGTTCGGAGCAGTCCTCTATTTCCCAGAACTGGCGGAGCAAACAATCTAAACGTTCATCCGGCAGGCTTGGGCTCTTCGTGACATCCTTGCAGGCTGTGGCTACGAGTGACCTTCTCTCGACAGGTGAACCGCCTCCACACACAACCCATCCAAGTCGGATTTTCTGCAGCAACGGTAGGCCAGCTGAGAGCTGAACTTGTCCAACACACAGCAATTCATAAAAGAGGCTGGCTCCGATGAGCAAATCGATACGCTGTGGTCGAAAGAATTCTGGATCAGCGAGATTAAGATTGCATGGTATATTCCAATTGGAGACATCTAAGCAGAAACTAGGCTGGAGATCCGTAATGTTGCCAGCGACGACTGCACTAATAAGAGACGAGTATTCTGAACAGTGAGAACGTAGGAGCACATCAACAGAGAATCCGTCCGTCGCATAGCCGGTATCGCCAATTCCAGACACCGACATGAATGATTTGCATTTACGCAACTGCAGCTGATTAGCCAATCGGGACGTAATCATGTGTACTTCAGATCCAGAATCCAGAAGCGCTCGGCAAGGAACAAAAATACCAGCGCGGCTCCTAACAAGTATGTTCGCTGTTGCAAGCAAAGCTATATCGCCGCTACGACCTTGGGCAATTAAGGCATTGACTGTGGATGGCGATGAGGCTAGAGGTTCAGAACCCTCGGATGAGGAGGAAATGGGTAAAGCAACTGGCAGATGGCCGCTAGAAGACTGCGAGTCCAGAAAATGCACTGTGATGCCGTCTCCCACAGCTGTGGCAATTATTAGCGACGCAGTCTCGCAGGTGATGGCCGGTTCTGAGACATTTTCGACAAAGACCAAGTCGCCTAGCCTCGCCTAGGCGGCTCTCAGGGGACAACAGCAGAAACCTTGGACACGCAGGCACCTCATGGGACCTCCCACCGCATAATATACAGGTAGCGGGAGGGGCATTAGTAATAATGAAAGCGGATCTACTGTTATTAGCAACTCTACGTCTTCCCACCTGAGTGCCTGGCGCGTATGCGGCCATGGCCACATCCACAGCCTCGAGAGTCCTGCATCGTTGCTCCAGGAATTTCGCCATCGAGTCCCACGTAGGAATAAGGTCTGAATTGATGGCAGTCTGGCCTTCCTCCCACTTCGCCTGGGTAGCTGGGTCCAATCTTTGAAGAAGCACCTGGACGATGATGCAGCCGGCAATTTGTTGCGTCGTTCCCAAATTCTTCAAGGCTCGCATATGGGAATTGAACTTATCTGAGAATCCTCGTAGACCTGCCACTGAGCCACCTTCCACGACACAGAGGCCTAGAATCTCGTTCACATGAGCCTGAAATATTAAACGACGGTTACTAAATCGCTTTTCCAAAAGACCCAATGCAACGTCATAATTTTTTCCTCGGAAGTTACCAAGGACCGAACTGCTTCTAACGCTGAGTCGCGAAGACAGGATCGTAGCCTCTGAAACTTTTCCACCTTGCTTATATGTGGATTTCCGCCTACCATAGTTGAGAAGATAGATTGGAACTCAGACCACTCGGAGTATCCTCCACTGAAGGTAGGGAGCGGAATAGGCGGCAGAGCTTGAAAGCTGCGACTGAGCCCTGGGTCTGGCATAGAGGAGATCCCGTTGGTGAGAGTTGAGTGGCCAGCCATTTGAGCAGAGCGTCGCAAGGTTTCGTCCTCTATTTCAGCGTGCATCGTCGCGACGAGCTCCGACACGGTCCATCGCAAGTCGCTGCCGATTTCCGAAATGTCTAATTCTTCAAGATTCCCGTGGATGGCCTTGAAGTCATCGTACACTGAGACTAACTGGCCATGACGCACGTGGAGCATGGCGTCCTCCACGCTTGAAATTGGGTGAAGGGCTCCTTGTATCCTCTTCAAATCCTGGAGGAGAGCATTGGCCTTGCATTTCAAAATAGCACTCCGAGGTAGAGTGTGTGAACCTGCGTCTGCCGCGCTGGCATCCATCGCCACTAGTCTCAAATTACGACCAATTTAACAAAGCTAAACTGCAGCGAAATTAGTATTATTATTTTTATTTATTTGTATTTTCGTATTATTTTATTATTTTTTTGTATTATTTATTATTTATTTTATTATTTAATAATAGTTTTAATTTGCTCGCGACGAATACAACCTGTCCCACTGTGCACGGCCGCTTAGCTGAAGCCAAATTTAATATTACAAATTGTTTAATAATATTATATAATAATATTTCGTATTTGACCACGGCGAACGCAATCTGTCCCACTGTGCACACAAGAACCGTACCCGAATTAGCGGCTGTATGTTTGTATAACGGTTTGTGCGCCGGCGAATGCACTCGAAAACGGAATGTATGTATGCATGTTATCCAACCCATGAATATTCATAGCTTATGAGTTTCATAAACAAATTTCCAATCGTAGCAACCGCTGAAAAATCTAAGCTTCGCTAGCAAAATCTCCCCTCACTCAAACCGGCCACATTCGGGCTATTATAAACAAATGACCCTTTCCAATCTTAGCAACCGCTGGAAATTCTAGCTTCGTTAACAGAATCTCCCCTCACTCAAACCGAGTCCTGTGAGAACCACATCCGGCCTACTGTAAACAAATGACCCCAGTCATAAACAAAGCTTCCAAATTTTCCACTTAGGGTCCGATCTAGTCCGAGCCAGTTGCTAACCAAATTTTTGTCAAATAATCAATTTATTGAGTTTCAATTACTTCTCAATTATTTCATCAGCCAATTGTCCTACTCTCTTAACTTTGCCTAATCTCTTTTAATCTCTTCTGAGCAAGATTCTCTTAAGTCGAGGTTTCATGATTAATATTTTATCAAACGAAGGGCAGTTCTTTTTTGGAGACGACTCGATCGGTCGGCAAAATCAAATTGTAAATCTAATTATATGTTAAGTGACTTGTGAAAGTGAATTTAATAAAATAAAAGGTGAACATCAAAATAAAAAAAAAAATTAATTTTTTTATAAAAAATTATCAACTAATAAATTTAATTGGCGCCCAACGTGGGGCCGCGTCTTCAAAAGTTCCTTAATTTTTTTTAATGAAAACAAATTAAAAATACAAAAAAACGGAACTCGCGCGGTCAAACAACTCGAATATTTTGTGGAAAAATCAAACCGTCCGCAACCGACACAAACCCAAAGTGATTGTGATCGTTAAAACATTTAAGTGGAAAATAATAAATAAAAAATAATCCATTTAAAAAAAAAAAAATAAATAAATAAATAAAAGTTGATAAAAAGGTGTACCGAAATTTAAATTCACTAAAAAGCAAGAACACAATAAATAAAATAAAGAACTCAAAAAAGGGAAAAACACAGGTAATAAAAACACATATATTAAAAGATATATAAAAATAAATAAACCAACACCAAAAAAAAAAAAAACCCCAAAAGAAGGAAGGAAGGGCTGAGGGCATTCCCTCGCCACAGAGCTACACTAGAAAAGTCTATTCACTGACAGGAAGGAAGGGCTGAAGGGCAATCCCTCGCCACAAAGCTACACCGGAAAAGTTTTAATTTTTCATCTCAGGAGAAAACAACAATCAACAACGACCACCGGATCAAATCCTGACGACGATCAACAGGAAGCAAGCAAATCGTGAGGAATTGAAAATTAATTATTTTTTTGTTTACATATATAATTATATCATATAAAGTTAGCCGATAGTTGATAATCTTGAATACTTATTGAACCTCTGTGAATCGAAAAACAATCTGGAAAATTTATTAAAAAACTTTGGAAATTTAAATTTGAATATGGCAACCGGTGGGACAGGTCAAAATCTTACCAGCAGTGGTCTGGGATCAAATCTAGCAATGGAATTAATAAACCGAGTGGTAAATTTACAGTTGACAGGCTTAAATGAAAAAATTAATGAGCTTAGTAATAAGTTAAACTCGAATGCAAATGTAGTGGAAGACTATAAGCTTCAAATAATTGACCCCACAGTTAGATGCGATACAACCCTAGAAGTAGTAAAAGCTGTGCCAAAATTTTATGGAGAACAATCCCAGTATGTCGGATGGAGGGAGGCCGCAGAAACATCTATGAGCCTATACAAAATTAATAGTGAACAGTATTTTATTGCCCTAACTATTTTACGGAACAAAATCATGGGAGCGGCGCACGACGCCTTAACTAACCATGGTACCGTATTAAATTTCAAGGCCATACTTTCGAGACTGGATTTTATCTACAATGATAGAAGACCAATCCACGTTCTAGAGTCAGAATTAAGTATTTTGAGACAGGGTAAAATGACAATTACGGACTTTTATAACGAGGTAAACAAGAAAATGACAATGCTTATCAACAAAACCATAATGACCTATGGAAAAGAAAGCGAAATTACCAGGGAGACTACAAGAACAATAAGAGGCAACGCCTTAAGAGTTTTCATTTCTGGACTGAATGGTTCAATCTCCGAAACTCTATTCTCTCTAAGCCCACCAGACTTACCGAACGCTTTAGCGAAGGTGCAAGAACTAGAGTCGAACAACTTCCGAGCTCAGTTCGCAAATAAATACTATGGATTTCAGCATGAGACCAAGAAACAGGGAAACAATTATCTAAGATTCAACGAGGTGCAGCCCAAGCAAAACTTCAACCCTAAAACGGGAAATAATTGGTATCAAAATAGAAATTATGATCAAAACAATTTTCACCAAAAACAAGCAGTAGAACGTAACATAGAACCAATGGAAGTTGATCCATCAAATCAAATTAAACCCTTTAAAAATTGGCAGGGACATAATGAAAGACAGGGGAATTACAATTATTATAATTCCAACAAAAACTACAACCGACCGTATTCAAGCCGTCCGAACTATTACCAACAAAATAGTAACGAGCCAAAACAAACACATCCACCACTAAAACGCGAACCAACTAACACTATAAATCAGCCCCAAAATAAAACCATGCGAATTAACAACATCGAAGAGAATCATTTTTTAGACCAGGAACAAAAGTAGGGTTACCCTACTTGACGAGGATAGATAGGCAATCAAAGCAAAAATTAAAAATATTGATTGACACAGGAGCAACATCCTGCTATATAAAAAAGGGAATCTATTCAAACAAAAGTGAACTCCCCATATACAAAAGAGTTTCCACTGTAAATGGATACTCAATAATAAAACATTACCACGTAATAACTATTTTTAATACAAAACAAATATTCTACGAAATTGAAGGGTTAGACGCCGATTTGTTAGTAGGATTTAACCTTCTCAAAAAAATAGGTGCCGTAATCGACACAAATATAGGCGTCATTAAATATCACGGAAAGGAAGAAAAATTAGTTTTTCATAATAAAGTGAGCGGAAATAAAGCATCCCCCACCGAGGAAAAAATTAATCTTCCCCTAAGTGAATTCATTATAAAACAAGAAAGGAAAGCTAACTTCGGGCGGAGCCGAAGTTGATATACCCTTGCAGAATACTCTGTAAATTATATTCTCCAAAATTATTCATATAATGCATTCTTAATACTCATAAAAAATCCCAACTTCCTAACTTTACAAACACGAAAGTTATGGCATTTCCGATCAATCAGTTATATGGCAGCTATAGGATATAGTCGGCCGATCCTTATGAAATTTGGTAGGTCGGATTGATTGGCCAAATATAAAACCCATAGAAAATCCCAACTTCCTAACTTTACAAACACGAAAGTTGTGGCATTTCCGATCAATCAGTTATATGGTAGCTATAGGATATAGTCGGCCGATCCTTATGAAATTTGGTAGGTCGGATTGATTGGCCAAATATAAAGCCCATAGAAAATCTCAACTTCCTAACTTTACAAACACGAAAGTTATGGCATTTCCGATCAATCAGTTATATGGCAGCTATAGGATATAGTCGGCCGATCCTTATGAAATTTGGTGAGTCGGATTGATTGGCCAAATATAAAACCCATAGAAAATCTCCAACTTCCTAACTTTACAAACACGAAAGTTATGGCATTTCCGATCAATCAGTTATATGGCAGCTATAGGATATAGTCGGCCGATCCCGGCCGTTCCGACTTATATACTGCGTGCAAAGGAAAGAAGGGTGTGTGCAAAGTTTCAATTCGATAGCTTTAAAACTGAGAGACTAGTTTGCGTAGAAACAGACAGACGGACAGACAGACGGACAGACAGACGGACAGAAGGACAGACGGACATGGCTATATCAACTCAGGAGGTGATCCTGATCAAGAATATATATACTTTATAGGGTCGGAGACGTCTCCTTCACTGCGTTGCACACTTTTGACCAAAATTATAATACCCTCTGCAAGGGTATAAAAAATACTTCAATGAATTAGCATTAAATAAAACCGATTCACTCTACGTTGAAAAAAGTTAATTGCAGCTCGAAAACCGAGCGTTCCGACGTTGAATTATCCGTCAATAGTGAATTAAATAATATCCAGTTGGAAAGAATGAAAGAAAATATAATAAATCAAATCGAAGCAAAACATTCTACGATCAATATCCAAATTCCATTTCGAACGGATATAAGAGGAGAAATTACTACAATTCATGACAGACCAGTTTACAGCAAACAGTATCCCTACGCTCTGTCTGTCTCAGATTTTGTTAATAGGGAAATAAGCCGAATGCTATCGGAACAAATAATAAGGCCAAGTAGAAGCCCATACAACTCACCCGTCTTAGTGGTCCCGAAAAAGGGACAAAATGAAGACGGAAGCCCTAAGTTAAGATTAGTAATTGACTATAAAAAACTTAACGAGAATACCGTTCCAGATAGATATCCGATGCAGGATCCATCAGTGATCTTAGCAAATTTAGGGAAGGCAAAAGTATTTTCAACAATCGACTTAGAGTCCGGTTTTCATCAAATCTTGATGAAAGACTCAGACATTGAAAAAACGTCATTTTCCATAAATAATGGGAAGTACGAATTTTTAAGAATGCCATTTGGTCTAAAGAATGCTCCTCGAATTTTT